CAGTTTGGGGGTCTTGTCCCCTGCTGAAGCCACAGCGATCCAGTGCAAGAACATCCCTGACTGTCTCAATGACAGAACCACTCTGGAGAACCACTTTGGCAAAATTGCTAAAGTGCAGCGCATCTATACTAGGCGCAGCAAAAAGCTTGCAGTGGTGTATTTTTTTGATCATGTGAGTACTCTGACAAAGTTAAAGTGAACTTTGTCACTTTAAAACCTGTTTTTTAAAATCTATCAGTTGTTTGCTTGCTAGAATTTAGAAAAGTACTCTAATGTCTTAACTTAGAGAGACTGGAATAACACTATTTATTTCATAAGTTAGAGTCATTTGTGAGAAGCTTGCAGTCCCCACTGAATGCGGTGTTCAGAAATGCTGGGTGAATGATTCCCGCGAGGTCAGATTTCTCTAAAGCACGTGGGAGCGTCCCTGTAACCACATAGCACTTTTTCAAGCTTGAGTTTTCTTGTTTTGTTTTTGATTTTGTTTTATGTGGTTATAGTACATGATCACTGTAAACATTCAGGACAATACAGAAAAGGTAAAATCTTCTTGTAATCCCATCCTCCAGAGAGAACTGCTGTTAACCGTTTATATACCTTGACTTTAAATTTATGTATGTGCACATAGACGCATAACACATTGGTTATAGGGTGTACACTTACATGAGCTGCTTGCATTATGTAACTTTATAGATTTTATTATTTTTTCTGAATATTCTTGTGGGGAAAAATTATGTTCTATAAAAATTTAGAAAGCGTGTTTTCATACTTTTTTAAACGATAGAAGTATTACCTGTCAACATAGGGAAAAAAACCCAGAAAGTCCTATGGCAGGGGGCACAAAATCACCCATAGTTCTATCCTCTAAGATATCAACTATGAAGATTATGGTAGACGTCTTTGTAAATGTATAGTTATGTTGTTTTTACGCAAATGGGGTCACAACCACATATACCGTTTGGTAACCTCTTCATGTGGTAATCTTTAAGTTGCTTCTGAAATCCATGAACAGTGTAGATGAGAATGGGGTTGTTAACTGCTACATGGCATTCTATCCTGTTTACCTACTTGGCTAACTTTCTGTTTGTGGACATTTTTGTGCATATATTTCTGAATATATCCTTTGTTTAAATTCCTGAGAGTGGAAGTTCTGTGCCCCAAAAATGTGCAGTTTTAGGGGTTTTGCCATTTATTCCCTTCTGTTGATTTTTTTTTTCAATTTAGCAGCATTAATTACGTTCACAATATTATACAGCCATTACATTATCTCGTTCCAGAACTTTTTCATCCTCTGAAACAGAAACCCTGTAACCATTAAGCAGTAACTCCCCGTTCCTTCCTTCTCCTAGCCCCTGGTGACCTCTCATCTACTTTCTAGCTCTATGAATCTGCCTGTTCTAGATACTTCAGATAAGTGGAATCATGCAATATTTGTCCTTTCGTGTCTGGCTTATTTCAGTTAGCATAATGTCTTCAAGGTTCATTCATGTGGTTGTATTTCATTCTTTTATTCCATTGTATGGGTGTTACCACACTTTATCTATTCATCTGTCCACGGACGTGGGTTGTTTCCACCTTCTGTGTATTGTGAATAATGCCTCCATGAATATGGTGTGCAAATATCTCTTCAAGACCCTACTTTCAGTTCTGTTGGGTATATACTTAGGAGTGGAATTGCTGGGTCATACAGCGATCCTCATTTTTTTAAAGTTATTTTCTAGCTATTGCAATGTGCTTTTTCTTCCAGCTGAACCCTAAAAAAATACATAAAAAATAAAATATATAAATACATTGTCATTGTAAGCAGTTCATTGATAATGGAAAGTTGAGGTCCTTCGTCACCCCCATCTCCCATTAGAGCAAGCGCCATTATCTAGCATGGTGAGTGTTTTCCTAAACATTTTCATAGGTACATCTATAGGTATGCTAACAT